AAAAAAAAAAAAATAAACACATCATGGTTGTGTAACTAAAAGATTAAGAAATTGTTCGTAATATAATAGTATATAATATAAAATATCAAAACATATAATATAATAGATGTACAACGGTAACGAGTCACTTTACTCGATAGACGGCGAAACTAAGACTAAATTGTAAACATCTATACAATAGGCTGTATTGAGAAAAAACAGCATAATCGAGAAAGGAATGTGTCCCTTTTGACCTTGTATTATACTAACATAAGTAAAATTACATTAAATTGTTATCTAAAATAATATTACTGTACCCAGTGTTTTTTTTAATAATATCAACACTTCCCGTTTAATAATACACCCGTACATAATTAATTAAAAAAAAAATTATAAATATATATGTCTACAACATTTTTCTAAGTTCTTGAAATCTTGTTCGTGGTGTTAGCTTGGTCAAGATATCAACGAACTGCTCTTTGCTTGTCACATACTCCAGTGAAAACATCCCTTCATTGAATTTCTCACGAATATAATGATAACGAACATCTATATGATCAATTCGTTTATGGAATTCTGGATTCTTCACCAATTTTATGGTACTTTGATTGTCCGCATACAAAACAGGTGTCTCTCGCAGAAGATTACTTATTAGTAGAGTCAACTAAGTTAGTTCCTAAACTGCTTGACTCATATATTCAACTTCAGTAATTGAAAGTGCTACCGATTTTTGCCTTTGTGAAACTACTATTCCATTAGTCATCATGAAAATGTATCCTGATGTTGATCACCAGCATAGTCTACATAACTATATCCAATTAACTTAAGTTTCACTGCATTCCAATGTATTATCAGAAGCTTTTCCAAATAGCAACTGACAAGATTTACAGCAAACGTTATATCAGGCTTTATGATCTGATTTAGATATAACAAACTTCCTACTTTTTCTCTGTGTGGAACTTCGCCTACTTGTAATGATTCAGATAAATTTGCATCTAATGAATTTTGTGGATCTGCAGGAATACATGGGGCGTCTGATTCATCCATATTGAATCTCTCCAAAACGTGTTGACAGTATAACGACTGATGTATAAATACTGACCCATCTAGTCTCTGATCGATTTCAATTTCCAGAAAATGATTAAGTTCACCTGCTATCATCTCAAAGTTACTCTTCAAGTACTTCATCTTTATGTCCACCTGCTCATCATTTGTTGCCGCTATAATCCCATCATCTACAAAAATAGCTACAATCATTAATTGTTCATTTTTAGTACTTCCAAATACACAGGAATCTGATTTTGTGTCTTTTAGATCAAAGTTTAACAGCATATTTTTAAATTTTGTATTTCAGCATCTGGGTGCTTGTTTCAATTCATACAAACTTCGTTGAAGTTTGCAAACTTGTTTAGTTCTATCTTCATAACCTTTTGGCTAGTTCATCTAAATCTCTTCTTCAAAATCATCATATAAAAAGGCTTTTAATATCGAATTGTCTGAGTTTTAATTTTCTGGCTGCTGCTATTGCTAGCAATACTAGTATAGAGTCATACTTTACAACTAGACTAAAAGTTTCTTGAAAATCAATTCTATGCACTTGTGCATAGCCTTTTATTTTTAGTCTGGCTTTAAATCTATCAACTTCTCCATTTTTCTTGAGTTTGGTTCGATATACCTAACCCAGCCATTGTTAAGTACTTTTTTATTTGTTGGTATATTTACTAATGTTCAGGTTTCATTTTTTTATAATGACATATATAAGGACCCATATGTCCTCTTCTAAATGTACAAATATTTTTGTCTGTTATCATTATTAAACCTTTATCAAGGCACGCTACACATGAAAACAAATTTGCTTTGAGCTCAGGTACATGTAAAAAATTTGACAAATAACTGTCAACCCATTTTTCGCCAATTTTTGCTTGAACATATATATTATCTTTACAAATAGCCATAATATATTTACCATCACCAATGCGTAGAAACAAATGAATCTCAAACGTTTCATAGGTTCTGAACCACTTTCTTCTACTGGTCATGTAATCACTTGCACCGGTTTCCACATATCATTTATCAGAATCGCTAACTTTGCTTGTTACTGAATTAACGCCTAGTAGTGCATTTCCAGAATTGGATTTGATTTTATTCTTTTAGTTTTGTTCTTTAAAATCCAGCAATCACGTTTGCAATGAGCTAGTTTCTTACAAAAATTACAAATTCCTAGTATTTAGCTTCGATGCGAAGGTATTATTTTACTATGATGTGTTTTTTTTTTTTTTGTATCTATTACCACTTTTCTCAGCTCTCACCAAACGGATTTCATTCAATGATACGTCAAAAGTTCAAAAATCGTATCTAGTTGAAGACATTACCTTTAAAAATTGAAAAAATTTCCCTCGTTCCCCGTAAATGGGGGAAACCTCCAAAAAAATTACAAATTTAAAAATCGCTAATTTTCGAAATTTTTTCAATTTTTTTTACTAAAAACTGCCGTAACATTTTCAAAAATGAACATATCAATATAATTTTTTTTTTTTATAGATGCTTGATGTCTTTACCTATCATTTGGTATATTTTTTTTATAAATCTGACCCTTTACCTGCACACAGGGGGGGATTTAAAATGACAACTTTTCCACAAAAAATTAATTTTTTCAACTTCACTTTTGAAAATGTTTTGAAATCTTTTAAAAGTGTTCCGAAAAGTCTGACACTTATATATATATTTTTAATTAAAGCTAATAAAATATACTTTATTGTGAAAAAAAAAAAATTCGGACTTTATTTTGTCTTCACAGTGAAAACAGACATCAAAGTTAATAAAAAAAAATCAGCACAGGGGGGTCGCGGCACAGTGGTGCCGTGGTATAGTTGGATCCAGTATAATGATATCTGACAGTGATTAAAATCGCTATCAAAAATAAACGCTTCGATGCAAATCTTTAGATAGTGTTTAATTTTAAAAAAATTGGTGTTTTATTCCAAAAGCTACATGATCTGCTGGTTCCTTATTAATATCTTGATTAAGATAAAGTATGTCAAATGAAAAAGGGTTTATTAAAAAATATTATTTCTCATAAAAAAATTGTGTGGATCCATAAACTTTTCAATAAGTTATAGCATTATAAAGTTAAATATAATATAAATAATAAAATCGAGAATTTTCACACGAAAATAGCATTCGGTAGCCATTTTCGCCGTGAAGACAAGTCCAGAGGTCAAATTTTTTTTTTTCAAATTAAAGTATATTACATTAGCTTTAATTTAAGATATATATAAAAGTGTCAGACCTTCCGGAACATTTTCAAAAGTTAATTTTTTATGAAAAAGTTGTCATTTTAAATCCCCCCCTGTGGGCAGATAAAGGGTAAGATTTACAAAAAAATATACCAAATGATAAGTAAAGACATCAAGCATCTATATAAAAAAAATTATATTGATATGTTCATTTTTGAAATAGTTATAGCAATTTTAAGTAAAAAAAAATTTCGAAAATTAGCGATTTTTAAATTTGTAATTTTTTTGTAGGTTTCCCCCATTTACGTGGAACGAGGGAAATTTTTTCAATTTTTAAGGGTAATGTCTTCGACAAGATACGATTTGTGATCTTTGACGTATCGTTGAAAGAAATCCGTTCGGTGAGAGCTGAGAAAAAGTGGTAAGACAAAAAAAAAATAATAATAAACACATCATAGTAAAGCCAATACCTTCTCAGCTAAAATAGGTTTTTTGAAAAAAATTCTTTTTTATATTTTTAACTTTATACTGCTATAACTTTTTAAAAAATATATGGATCAATATACTTTTTTTTGTATAGATGCGTGATGTCTTAGCCTTTCATTGGGTATATTTTTTTTATAAATCTGACCCTTTATCTGCCCACGGAAGGGATTTAAAATGACAACTTTTTCACAAAAAATTAACTTTTAAACTTAACTTTTGAAAATGTTCCGGAAGGTCTGACACTTTTATATATATCTTAAATTAAAGCTAATGTAATATACTTTAATTTGAAAAAAAAAGATTTGACCTCTGGACTTGTCTTCGTGGTGAAAATGGCTTTTATCATATCTAATCTTATTCGACAATAAACACTTTAAAAATATTAGAAATAAATGATATTAATTGTTTGTATGGAGAAAGCGGGATAAGCTACTTTTTATTTGATTAAATGAAAGGAGTACATAAAAAGTATTCAATTAAAGTATTGTATTGATCCATCAATTTTTCAAAGTTATTATTATAAAATAAAAAGTCACCTATTTACGAGAAACAATGGAATTTTTTTCAGTTTTTGAGAGTAATGTCTTTGACTGTATAATTTGTGATATTTTGATGTAACGTTGAAAGAAATAGGTTTGGTGAGAACAAAAATAACACATAATAGTAAAATTAATACCTTCTCAGCTTTACATCGAATCTAAAAAATTTTTAAGCAATTGTAACTAAATTACTTTGAAGAAGTTACGTATCATAATTAATACATTATAAATATATATCATAAGTAGAAAAAAATTTAAAAGACTTTCTATCATTCTTCCATATTGCTTTAAAATTATATAGCTTTTAAAGGTTCAATAGGATTTGATTTCAAAATCCAACCTTATAAATATGACATTTTCAAATATTTGTTTATAAACCAAGTTGTTTTATTTTTTTTATCAAAGCTGATGTTTATCAGAAGCATATAACTTTATAATAATTTAAAAATTAAAATTAAATAACTTTACTATCTTTACTTACAATTTGTAAATGTACTTTACAATATAAATTTACTGACTCAACTAAAATTCAGTAAATTTATTATAATTTTGTTTTGGAATAATTAAATATGTGTTTTCATTAGAAAAACTAATGTTTATGATAATTTCTTTTTAATTTTTAAGTTCTAGAAAAATATAAGTTTCCTAAGAATGTTTCTAGGAATATTCTATTTTTTTTCTAACAATTACTTTAATGTAAACTTTAATTATTATTACAAAAGCAACATTCATTGTATTAAAATTTTTGTGTTTATAATATTGAAAATTTATAATAAAATTGAAAAAAAATCTCTAAGTTGTTTTTATTGGATTCATAATTGCATCTAAATTCTTCATCTCCTCTGTAAAAAAATAAACAAAAATCATTAATGTATATAAAAAATTTCTGAACTTTTGTAACAAAGTTTCTTAACTGAGGTGTGGATGACTAGTAAATAAAAAAATATGACTGCGCATTCGTCAAACACAAAAACTCATATGTCATATGAAAAATTATAATAATTTTAAAAACCAAATAATTTGAAAATCGTCATATGAAAACTTCTGGTTAAATTTTATTATAATGAATTAAATCATAAAAAAATAAATTAATATACATTTAGTTAGCAAAGTAAAAACAATAAAAATGAAACTAAAAAGATAAATACAAAGTCAAAGATTTAAAAAGTACTAATAACAAATAATAGTTTTACTAACACCAATGTACCAAATTATGATAAATTTTTCCTTTAATTCAGATTTGTTTTCTAATAGTAACTAGTTACTAGTCGAGTAATAATCAGCCTAATAATGACAAACTTTTTAATAAATATCACTGAATGGAAAACAGTTTGTGACTAATATATTTGATAACACAGAAATAATATGTGTAACCACTTTTAATTAAGAAAAATAATATTCATTATTAAAAAATAAACACATACTTTTAAAATAAATAACACAAAACATGATCTACTAAATAATAATAATTAGCATATATTTATTTATATTTGACAGGAGAATAATGTTATCTAGATTAGAAAAAATTCTAGAGCTGATTAGAAACAAAATGGAAAATAAAAAAAAAAAACAAAAAATTAAAAATTAAAAATTAAAAAAAAAATAGAAACGTGACCAAAGTGTACAAAAATATTAGAACTTAATGATTTGATGAATGAAATAATAATTGGTAAAAAACTTAACTATAAATTAATAAACAATTATTAATTTATCACTAGATACATTCTCATTATATATTAATTGTGTTTGCACGAAATTTAATACAGTAGTAAGCTAAGCCTCACAATCTGGGGACATATATGAATTAAGAGAAATTTCTATTTCAGATATGTCATATATCTGAAATATATATATTTATGAGTGTGTGGGAAATACAACACGCAATCTCAGGAACAGAGCAGACACAATACGATTACTTAATACATTACAATTAGTTTAATACATGGATAAAAAAAAAATTTGTACTTGTAGTGACTAGCAAAATTTAGGTAAATTTTATATGGGAAAAAGTCCTTAGGAATTGATACTACTTGAATATTCAAGAATTTTTCTGTAACACTATTGTTCTCAAAGGAATCTATGAATTGTAGATATTTATAAAAAAGTATATTACTTTAAGAGAATTATACAGGATGATTATTATACATTAACCCTTCAACTTATTTTAATTATTTTTTTGACTTTTATAAGTTACATATGTAACTCCATGTGTTAAAAATATTTGTTATGTTCATTCCTTATCTCTTATAAAGATGTATTTTTTTAATGGAGACATATATATTTAACTAGATATAAAATAGAAAATAATTTAATATGAAATTAGCTAGTTGATAAAAAAATTTGGACCAGTATTTCACGAGCTATTAATATTTTATACCTAAGCAGAAAGAGCGAGGCCAAGAAATGTCTAGTGATAAAAATAGCAAACCCACTATTAATTAAAGTAATACAGTATTACTTTAAATTATTAATAAATTCTGAAATACTAAATCATAATAGTTGTTATTGCTCAGATCATTTTTTTGTTTATAAGCCAGTTAATTATGTTTATTGTCGTTTGAAAAATTAAAGTTGACGCACTTATAAGGTATAAAGGATGAACATAAAAAATATTTTATAACAGATAAGTAAAGATAATAATGTAAATAACAAAAGCAAAAAAAAAATTCACAAAAAAATAATTTAGAGATATTGAATGGCCAACACTAAAAGAATGCTAACATTATATTCAACTACATAGTAGTTAACATAAATAATTAAAATTTTTTAATTTACCGGCATATAACTAATATTAAAAAACATATGTTAACCTTAATATAAAAAAATTAATGTATGATATAACATTGATATACCTGCAGCAAAGTTTTTCTTTTCTTCAGCAATTTTGGCATCTCTTTCTGCTTTTAACCTATAACGTTCATCTCTGGATTTGTCTTCTTTCCTTTGCAAAAAACTATGTCTAGTCATTCCGTACCCAATACCAGCTAGGAGTAAAGAATAACGACCAAACTAAACAATAAAATGAATAATTAAGTTTATTTTTCATGAATATTTGAAAAATTAAGACTTGTAACTTTTAATACTTATTACTTTTATACCTTTACAATGAATCAATGAATCCTATGTCACGTATTAAACCAATAAGAATAAATACTACTTTTAAATAACATAAATAATGTAAATACTACACTAAAATATAGTTAATCTTTAATTTATAATGGGGTAATTGAAAAAAACATGTCTAGTATTTTAAACCAAATTAAAAGACGCATCAAAAATCTACATCATTATAATCGTTATCATGGTTAATGCTAAATAATAATTCTGTAAAAACAGTGTATATTCAATAAATGTTTTGGGATGTTAGACTTATAATATCCAGAAATCAGTCTACCGTTTTCTTCATAATACAAAAATTACAATTCACTTACTCTGATTAATGGGGAGACATTAATGGGAGCTTTGAAATCACGAACCATCTTGATTATTTCAAATAGATAAGTTATAAAACAATAGAAATTTATTGTGTAAGTCAGTAAAAACGGACAAATTTTTTCAGATGTAAAAATTACGGTGAAGTATCATATGTTTTTTTTTCAATTAATGACTTATCTAAGGTAAAGAACATCAAGTTGATAACACGAACTATGATAATAGTTTATATAACGTGAAATTAAAAATAAATCCACAAATCATATTGATTTAAAGAATCTTATTGTAAGATACTGATATATTCACTTATTAAATAAAATTTCAGTTAATATCAAATAGTCGTAAAACAATTTTTTTTCATTATTCCAAAGAAATTTACAATGTCATAGCATATACTTTATCTAATAATTATTTAATAAATAATTATTATCAGTGTCGATCAAATAGAAGTAGATTGAATAATGGAATCCTTATAAATCTTAACTCTAATATTTATTTTATTGTGCGATTGGCTTAGCTATTGGCATGTATTTTATTCCTNGATCAAATAGAAGTAGATTAAATAATGGAATCCTTATAAATCTTAACTCTAATATTTATTTTATTGTGCGATTGGCTTAGCTATTGGCATGTATTTTATTCCTACTCATTAATCTAGACACGGGTTACGGTATGTTTTACATATTAACCATATACCACTCCAATTATCATTAATTTGGTTAATAAACAACAAGTTGTTATATTCATTTATATGTAATGTCATTAATTTTAATTAAATTGTTAATTAACTTAAAATTAAATTCCAACTATGATCCGGTAATCATATCTAATAGTTATGACACCTCATCTAGATGGTGACGACCCTTGCTACCATCATAACTAGTCGTTATGCAAATGAAAAACCACGTAGTTCTTGTAGACCGGCAAAAAATCCAATCGATGGGTTCATTAAATTTTGCATATAATAATGGTTCTAATAATATTTTTTAAAAACACTATAATTATTCGTTGCAAAATTTATTTATTGGTATAGTTAGATTTGAGAATCAGTTCAGAAGGAGCAGAAGTAATGGTGTAGAACTACAAGCTTTTCAACTATCCAACAAAACTAAAATCATATATTTCGTACCAAGATAGAACGTTTATTCTATTAAAAAATTATATTAAATAATATTTACATATTATACATAATATGTATTGTATTAATATAGGTGCAATATGGATTGGAATATAAGGGCTAAGGTCCTCTCATATATTAGTCTATCACTAAAATATTACAATTTTTTACTGAAAAGAAGCTAATACATTTAGTAATACTTAAAACCGAATAAAATTTAAAAAAATCGTTCATATTTTCAATCATGTTAGTTTTAAATAATTATGTTTTTACATATGGTGTTGTTTGTATGCAAACACCTGCGCGCAAAAATCAAATAATTATAACCATAATCATCTGTTGAGTGTTTTTGTCATTCCCCAACACAGTGCACGAATAGATTACAAAAGTAAATTTTTAAAACAAATGAAAATTGAGATTGTGTTATTTTTTATTTAAAAGATTATTATAAAAATTTTAAATAAACAACAATCGAACGAAAACATACAATATCAAATCCCTAAAGAAGCATTTTAATATTCTGACTTAATTAATCGGTAAGTAATTGTGATTAAATAATTAAAAAATTATAATTATAGCGTGTTAATTATTTTGAAAGTTTGCTAGTGTTAAATGTTTTGAATCTTTGCTAGTGTTAATAAAGAAAATTCACATAAATCAGAATTATTATTTTTCTTGTATTTAAACTATTTAATTCAAGCTTGGTTAAAGTATATTCATGTAAAAAGAACACAAAATTTAACATTAACTAAAGTCATTAAAAGTCGGATTTTTTTTTTATTAAATAAAATGATATTTGTATTTAATGTTTTTACAAGTGTTAGTTGATACATAAGGATACTAACACACTGATGGGTTTACCGTTAATTTTGGATTTAAAAATACAAAAAAAAAAAATTGGAAATATTTTTGTAATTATTTTATTATTTTCAAATGAAAAGTCAACGAAGTAACTCGTGCTTCTTTTTATGTTGATTTCATTTTTACTTATTACATTTGTTTATTTTATAAGATTAGATATTATTCATTCACAATACAGTACTATGTTTAATTTTAAAAAAATCCAACGAAAAAAGAAGTTAACCTAAAATATAAATTCAATTTTACTTTAAGCGAAGAAATTTGCTTAAAAAATGTAGGTGAAGTTGACAAGGTGATCAACTCCTTTACTTCTCTTCAATAAACTGCTATTAATGTAACAAAAGCACCTGCTTTCTTGCCTACTAAAATTAAATTACCAGCACACTTAAAACAACTATTCAGAAAAATCGTTTGATTAGATCTTAGTGGCAACATTTTTAATACCCTACTGATAAAGCCAAACTTAATTTTCTTAAAAATAAACATCAAAGTTACAATAATGGGAGTTATAATTTTTATTTATAAAAACACTTTAATAAAAAAATTAAACAAAAAAAACTCTTTCCTCCTTTGAAAAAAACAGACAACACGTGCGATATTATTGTTGATATTTTTGCGAAGCACCTCTCAAATTTTTTTAGACCAAATGACATAATTCCTAGTAGCAGTCAACAATAAATTATTTCAAATTTTCTAGATTCCCATTACCTATGACACTATCCAACAAGTTAACTAGTTTTAGTGTAATTCAGTATATAATATAAAAACTTTCAACCAATAAAGCCCCTGGACATGACCTCATAACAAACTGTATATCAGAGAAAGCAGTATTAAGAAAAAGCAGTATTGCGAGCAGTACTTTGATAAAGTCTGGTATACAAATTTCTTATTTAAACTAAAAATATCTCTATCTTCTCCATATTATCTAATCATTAAGCCCAATCTACTTAATCGCACATTTTCTATTAGAACCAATAATGACCACTCTTTTAATTACCATATTAAAGCAGGTGTCCCATAATGTAGCTTCTTTCCTGTATTCAGTTTTTGCTCATAATACATCTAAATAATATTATACAGCCCTAGAAATTTATGCTGATGACTCGATCCTTTTAACTTCAAATGTAGATTCAATAATGGTATCTATACATCTCCATAATCATCTTGATATGAACTACGGCTATCCACCCGATGGAAAATCAAAATCAATTAAACAAAGTCCTATTTTATTACCATCGCCCTAAAAAGTCAAATACCTTGGGCTAGTACTAGAAAGCAACTTACCTGGTCATTACATCTTAAAACCAAACGTAAATCTATTAACTCTCGACTTCATTTTTTCCGTTTCCTCCTACGATCTAAACTATTCTTAAACAATAAGCTAACTCTTTACAAATTAAGACCAGCGTGGTTTTATGACTTACAAATCTGGGGATCGCCTAAACCCTCTAACCTTAGAACTATTCAGGCATTTCAATCCATATGTCTACTCCAAATAATTTTTGCTTCATGGTATATCATAAATAACAACACCAACAAGAATTCCAACTGTCAACCAACTTGTAAAACAATTTTCTTCGCTAATATAACTTGAAAATTCTATCAGAAGGCTGAAACATAGCTGACCAAGAAACCTTTTGAAAACTTAATTATAGTAAAAAAATTTTAAAAATCTAATCCAATAAAATAAGCTGTCTGGTGACTTGACTGGATATTTTCCCCAATATCAAATTCATGGTATTGTAAATAAATTTGTTATAATATTTACTTATTGTACAACAGATGTATAAATTGTAATTTTCTTATAAATAATAATAAAAACTTATACCATGTAACATTTTAATGTTACATGGTATAAGTGATATCGTCAGATCCCCTGTAAAGAAGTTTCATATCAAAAATTATATCTATAAAAAGTTGTTTATAGTAATTCATAGGTAAATAACACATTAACCGAGAAACCAAAACATAAAAAGTTCCTTCGAAATACGCAAGAAGTCCTGATTGGCACACAAACGGTTCCCAGAGATTTCCTACAAGATTCCTCTCAGTCACCATATATCGTCTCCCTATCTTCTTTTTCCTCAACTACTTGGGGTCGGCCACCCATATCCTAAACTTCCACTTGACACGATCTCCCACATCATCTACGCTCCTTATGTCCTCTCCTTATAGATTTCTATATTTACTTCTGTAGGATTATACCATATAAGTGGTGTTAATAAGTAATTTTTTATTTCATAACAGTACAATAAAGGTAATATAGCGTTATCTATCTATAAATACACATTTAAAATAATAATAATACAATGTCTTATGATGAATTTTATAGAGAAAGAAATTTTAGACGATTATATTTCAATAACAACTTTAACATCTAAAAGAAAACATTCATCCATTATGGTGTTTTCAGATGAAAATAGTGAACTAGAAAAATTAATATTTAGTACGGAAAATCTTAAGATGCATAAACTCACGGTAATATAGCAACATATTACAATGATTCGAAATTTATAATTCATTATGTATTTTTATATATTTTAAGTAAATATGTCTTGACAAATAAAAAACTTGAACAAATTAATATTTTGTGAAAAGTTACCGATTTTAAGTTTAAGCCATTATAAAATTTTATTAAGATAAAAAATCTTTCAATTATTTTTATCTATCTCCTTAAAAAAACTGTGAAGATTGGTCTAACACCATACTTAATTTTTAACTTGTATAAGTAACACAAAAAATAAGAACAAACTTTAGAATATACAATGTAAACTATATACGTATACACTAAAAAATTAGTGCACTAAACATTTTAAGCATTTTTATCAAAGCTATTGGTTTTACTATGATGCGTTTTTTTTTTCTCTGTTATCATTTTTTCTAAGCTTTCACCGAACCGATTTCTTTCAACGATACGTCAAAAGATCACAAATTGTATCTAGTCGAAAACATTAATCCCAAAAATTGAAAAAATTTCCCTCGCTAAAACATTATGTCAATTTGATAATTTTTAAATAATTATGACAGTTTTAATAAAAAACGATAAAAATTACTGATTTTAGCTTCGATGCGAAGCTGAGAAGGTATTATTTTACTATGATGTGTTTTTTTTTTTTTGTGTCTGTTACCACTTTTTCTCACCGAACCGATTTCTTTCAACGATACGTCAAACGATCATAAATCATATTTAGTCGAAGACATTACCCTCAAAAATTGAAAAAAAATCCCTCGTTCCCCGTAAACGGGGGAAATCCCCCAAAAAATGACAAATTTAAAAATCGCTAATTTTCGACATTTTTTCGATTTTTTTTACTTAAAACTGCAATACAATTTTGTTCAAATATGAACAAATCAATATAATTTATTTCTGTAGATGTTTGATGTCTTTACCTATCATATGGTATATTTTTTTTATAAATCTGACCCATTACTAGCTTACAGGAGGAGATTTAAAATGACAACTTTTTCAACTTAACTTTTGAAAGTGTTCCGGAAAGTCTGATACTTTTATATATATCTTAAATTAAAGCTAATGTAATGTACTTTATTATGGAAAAAAAAAAATTCTGACTTTATTTTGTCTTCACGGTGAAAATGGTTACTTTTGTGTAAAAATTCTCGATTTTATTTTTTACATTTTTTACTTTAAAATGCTATAACTTATTGAAAAGTATATGTATCAACAAAATTTTGTTATAAGAAATAATATTTCCCTCTTTCATTCGACATACTTTATCTTAATCAGGATTAAAAATCCTGAAAAATAAGGAAATAGGAGATCATGTAGCTTTTGGAATAATTCACCAATTTTTTTAAATTTTTTAAATAACACCATTTCCTTTTATATATTATAAATATATATAGTTATTTTTTTATTCATATATTACACTTATAAATTATTAAATTTGTAACCAGGATATAAATGAGGAAATAGGAAATCATGTAGCTTTTGGAATAATCCAACATATTTTTAAAATTAAACGCTATCTAAAGATTTGCGATTTTTATGATAGTGATTTTAATTACTGTCAGATATCATTATAATTTATCCAATTATGTCACGTGACCACTGTGCCGCGACCTCCCTGTGCTGGGTTTTTAAATTTATAAATTTTTGGGGATATGAATATACAGGATTTGGATAAAAAATTTTAATATTTAAGGGGAAACGTCTTTAATTAGATATGATTTGTGATATTTTGACGTATAAAATGTATAATATATATTTATAAAATATAATGGAGCTATTTTAACCTTACAATTTTTTTAAATGTAAAGAGATTATGGAAAAAAAAAAAGTAATTGGGTAATTTTTATAAAATGTTACTTTAAAATTAAATCCTACTAGTTTTATTTTGCTGTGTTTTTTATGTGCGGTACACCATTATTCCCACTAATACTGGAACAATTTTGCTCAACGATACGTCAAAAATCATAAAATGTATCTAGATAACGTTATCGGAGCTATAATTTTGAAAAATATCACTAGTCCCTAATATAAAGATAAATATCCCACAAATTAAAGTTGTCATTAAATAGCTAATGTTGATATTTTTTGAATTCACTGTTAATAATTTAATGAAAACTGGATGGAATATTCCCAAATTTTTATTAATAATACTTCAAACATTGGCCTTGCTAACATGTTTTTTTGAAAATTCAATCGTTTACTATTGCTATGTCTTAAAACTCATCAACATTTTGTTCTTCGCAATTTTTTGTTATGTTCTAAAAAATACAGGTACTTTATAATGAAAATAGAAAAACTATTTGAAATCACTATTTCTAGGAGAAATGGAACATTAAAGCCTAAAATCATACAATTTATTATAAAATTGATCAATTTTGCAAAGTAACTGAATGCTTAAACCATACTAAATTATTTCAAATTAAAGCTTATTTAATTTAATATACAATTAAAAAAAAACGGTAGCACAGTGGGGTCGAGGCACAGTGTGGACGAGGCATAGATGGGACAAGTATAGATGATATCTGACAGTGATTAAAATCACTATCATAAGAAACGCTTCGATGCAAATCTGTAGATAGTGTTTCCTTTAGAGAAATTGGTGAAATATTTTAAAAGCAACATGAACTCTTATTTCTTTAATTATATCCTGATTAGTAGTTCTTTGATTTTAAAATATAATATATGAATAAATACTAATTATAGTTTTTAAATTTAGTATGAAATTGTGAGGCCAGCTATGATGTATGGTTCATAGTGTTGGGCGGTTGATAAGAAAGTAGAGCAGAGAATAAGTGTAGCAGAGATGAGAATGCTTAGTTGGATGAGTGGAGTGACTAGAGAAGATAGGATAAGGAACGAGCATATAAGAGGAAGTATAGGTGTTGCGTCAATCGTGGATAAGATGACAGAAAATAGACTTAGATTGTTTAGTCATGGTATGAGGAAAGAAGAATCGAAAGCTGTAAGAACAGTTATAGAAATGAATGTTGAAGGAAGAAGAGATAGAGGAAGACCAAAAAAGAGATGGAGGGATGCTATTGAATGCGATTTGAGGACAGCTGATTTGAGCGTAGAAGATGTGGGAGATCGTGTCTAGTGGAAGCTTAGGATAAGGGTGGCCGACCCCGAGTAGTTGGGATTAAGGTAAAGAAAAAGAAAAATATTACCAGAAATTCCGGTGGCAATTGACATAATATGATTGTTGTTTGGGAATGTAAAATTTAGCGTTTAGTTGGGTTTAAATAATATAGCGTCAAATCAATTACCTACTCTATCGGTTGTATCTCAATATACACTACACTTTAATGATACAATAAATAAATAAACTCACACATACACACGTATGCATTTATAACATTGTGTCTAATGTAAGTANACACACGTATGCATTTATAACATTGTGTTTAATGTAAGTATAAAATGATAAAAAGTAACCGTAAAATGAATAAAAAGGAACATAAATTTTAGTAGCCTAGATGTCAATTTTAAACTTGTAAATGAGCTAAAAGTTATGGTAATATATTCAATTTTTTTTACTATAAACTTTCATAAATCTTTAACAAAAATTTTTCATCAACTTTAAAGAACCAAAAAAATAGGTTAAAAATTAAAATTTGGACTGATTATTTTGAACATATTAAAAATCAAATCAATAATAATTTGAAAACAATTTTTTTTTCTTTTAATTATTATTTTATATGTAATTAGTAATAATATAAAAAATTAGAACTGATAGATAAAGTCTAATTGCAGATTTGAAAACAACGCAAAAAGTTGATTTTTTTAAGTATATTTTTGCTTCTGATGAAAGTTCCTTGTAATCCAGTGCATTTATTTATAGTAACAAACAGTTTTTATTGAAAATTATTGTATCAAGCCCTTTAAATTTTTATACACGTAAAAGTAAAGCAAAATATAACTTCTTTATTATTTTTATAATTTCTCCGTTTAAATTACAATATTAAATATCAATTTCATACTAAATTTAATAATTATAATTAGTATATATTCAAATATTATATTTTAAAATCAAAGAACTACTAATCATGATATAATTAAAGAAATAAGAGTTGATGTTGCTTTTGGAATAATCCACCAATTGCCTAATTAAAACAAAAAAAAAAAAAGTTTGTTGGGAATTTTTTCTGCTATTCTGCAAAATTACTCCTTCGTTGACTAGAATGAATCATTAAATAGAAAATTTTATGAGAATTAAAACAATGTTATTTTTAAGATTAATATGCAGTCAGAAAGTTTTATAATTATTATTTATTGTAAATTTATCAGAAAAACTCATTATTTTTTGCATTTTTATCGTAATAGAACACTTAAATAGAAATCATAGTAATCATTTCTAAGTAATTTTTGATATTTAAAAAGATTCTACTATTGAAATATCCAGAACTGAATTAATTTTAATGATTTACTTTAACTAAAAAAAAAAAAGTTAATATTTTGAATCCCTCTTGTGGGCAGGTAAAGGGTTAGATTTATAAAAAAAACCAAATGATAGATAAAGACATGCATCTAAATAAAAAAAAATATACTGATTTGGTCATTTTTGATAAAGTTATAACAATTAACAAAGTTATAAGTTTTATACACTGGACTACAAGGAACTTCCATCAGAAACAAAAATATACTATTCTAAATCAACTTTTCGCGATGTTTTAAAATGTGCAATTAGACTTTTTCTATAACTTCTAAGTTTTAATATTATTAAAAAATAGTTTTTACATATAAAAAAAAATAATTAAGAACAAAAAAAATTGTTTTAAATTAATACTGATTTGATATAATATTTAATATTAATTTGATTATTAATAAGTTAAAAATAAGGAAAATGACATATTTAACCTATTTTGTTAATCGTTTAAAGTTGATTGTTGTAAATGTTTATAAAAAAAAAAAAAAATTTATTTTACCATAACTTTTAGCTCAATTGGTAAGTTTGACATTGACATAATTAAATAGAAAATTTTATGACAATTAAAAAAATTGTATCGTTAAGATCAATATGCAGTCAGAAAGTTTTATAATTACTATTTATTGTAAATTTATCAGAAAAGCTCAATATTTTTTTGCATTTTTATGGTAATAGATAACTTAAATAGAAGTAATAGTAATAATTTCCTAGGAACTTTTGTTGTTTGTTGAAAAGATTCTATAATTGAAATATTGAGAACTTAATTAATTTTAATGATTTACTTTAACTAAATGTACCAATCAAAACAAAGTTGTTAAAAAGATTTACTCAATTGAGTGTATTATAAAATTTGATTATATTTGTAAAAATCAATTGTTAATTCAGGAGAAAAAACAATCATTTTTTTTAGAAATGATTTATATAGCAACATGTTACAAAAAAAAATTGTAATATTATAGTCTAGTAGTAGCACACACAAATAGAGTAAAAAAATTATTAAATTACAAAGTAAAATGATTTAATTTTGTAGTTGAAACCTATCATATCAAACTTCATTCGTTAATAAATATTTTGAAAACATTAGAAATTAATGATTTTAATTGTCTTTATGGAGACGATGGAAATAACTAAATGTTTAATTGTTAAATTAGAATTTTTTTTTCAATTTTGAGGCTAATATCTTCAACTAGATACGAATTGTAGTCATTGGACGTATCGTTGAAAAAAGTAGGTCAAGTTAGAGCAGAGAAAATAAATGATATTCACAAAAAAACATCTTCTCGGCTTTGCATCGAAGCTAAAACTTAAAATATAGTAAAATAATTTTAATACGAATAAGAAATTTCTTCTTGCAAGGGGCGACTAAAGTGATGGGATCATTGATCTTTATTGAAGTTATTGAATCTAAATG